AACAAACTATAAGTTATATGTAATATTTTTAAATACGTTTACAATACGTAAACGTTTTCCTTCTGTGTGTGTGTGTGTCATATGAGGTCGATTATGTTCGCAATTATAAAAAGTGAATTGGTTATGTTTTCGCCTCCTAACGTGGTTTCTTCGAAACGCGTCTACGCAGAAAATTTACGATCGTCGAAAGAAAATGTAAAACCATCGCTTTATTTGACTATTCTAACGATTGGAAATCCACTTTGCGAAAGAAATAACAATGGAAAGAAAGAAACGTAAAAGATCACAGCGAGAAGTTTCGTATCTAACAGGAAATAGTTTCTGCGCTATTTAACCTCTTAACCTACAACTACGGGCATAGCCCGCAGTACGATGGTCGGGCCAAACGTAAATATTACGGACATAGCCCATAGTACGACGATCGGACCAGATATAATATATAATGTAATATATAATAGCTTGTTTACGTTTTCGGCCCAAAATTCTCAAACGTAAATCGTAGGTTAAGGGGTTAAAAAGACCTTCTCGCCACAAAACCCTGCCTTATCAATCGTCGTTGCGAACTCCATTAATTTCTACCTTAACAGCACCGTGCTACGGAGAATTGACATTCGTGTGGTTAAAGAATCGTTGAATTTAAATGAAAAAATAATTAATCGATAGATGAAACGAAATTTCTATAGACCATAAGTTATAGATAATGGAATCGTTATCTATAAATTCTATTCACGAAAGATTACTTGTTACTTGTAACTTGCAAAAATGACCAATTAACAAACGCGCGCGATCGTAGTAGAACGAAAGAAAAGATTTGTATGATTTTGCGAAGCGAAGGTCTTTGACGTGAAATATCATTTTTTTTCAAATAAATCTGCTTATTATCTACGTGTAACCATCGAACAATTGCTTTTCGTTGACCGTTTCAAATTGCCTAACATCCCTTAAACGATTAACATTAACCGATCAGCTTATTAGTAATGCTATGTACGTATATAATACAATACACGTTGCTTTTTAAAAGTAAAATACTTCATTTCGTACGTCGTATTTCTCTACTCGCGCGTTTTTATCAAATACCCAAGTACATATGCCTAAGTATGCGTGCGTGTCACATTCACATTGGAAAAAGAACGCGTATCAACGGAATATACTTTTCTTCTTCCTAACCTATCGATACGGTATAGGCCATATCACGGCAATCGTTCCGAGTCTTTTTTAACACTAGAACTATCACAGCAGTCAAATTGACTGGTTGTACGATTTTATTTTAAAATTCCTACTTCATGTTACATTCGTTCATGAATTTTATTTTCTTTTCTATGTATTCAAACTGAAATTTTGTATCAAGGCTACTTATACCAATACCAGTCAAAGTGTAAAATGGTCCTGCAATCTGTTTATCGATCGTCGATTAACCAGTTTCCTCGTTTTCTACAACTTGCCACGCGTTTTAAAAATTTTTACTACGTATCATTCGATATGACGCTAGAAATACCACACCAGTCAAAAACGACTGGTTCTACGATTTTATAAATTTGTCAAGCCTCGTTTAGGGATCCCAGATGGATTAATAATAGCAAAAATGTACTACATAACATGGAATTGCTTCTGTAAGAAAGTAATAAATCAAGAAATATAAAAATATTCTATCATTATTACGTACGTTTTAAAGACCAGTCATTTTCACTGGTTTTGGTAAAAATAGCTTCGTGTTAACTATCGGTAGTTCTAGTGTTAAACAGATTCGCGTTTCGTTATTTAGCTGAACAGCGAGAAGTTAAAACATCTTTGACGCTAAACGCGCAGTTCTCTGTTCTCTTGCGTAGAAACATCGCGAATGGTGAAAATTCCTTACGAGTCGAAGAAAAGAAACGTATTAAATTCTCGCATTATCTACGTAGAAGCACAACGACATACTTATGGACGTTTCGCGATAGACATTCGTTTCTACCGTGGTGGTTCGATGATCCGCGCGCATTGATTTTACATCGTTTGATTTTTATCCGCAAGCAGTGGCAAGATAACGAATCGCAGAACACGCTGCCACAACATCCAACAGATTATAAGTAAGTTTGGCACTCATCCAATTAAACTACGATAGGCGTTAAGCAGAAAATTATTAACTCGGCGTCCGTGCTCCGATTTAGCCAGAACTTTGAAAATACCTTGCTTTCACACGCAAACAACGTTTAGGAGACGAGGTATTTGGCGACTCGAAAGATAACCACGTTTTTAACATTTTTTCATTTTACTATAGTCGCATTTACTAAATTCGTATAATTCGCAGAAAGATCACTGCAGCATTCTAAATTCGACGTAGCCTTTATTCGCGTAAAAATTCTTTTTCACGACGTTTCTTAGCACGCAGCTATAGTTTACGTGTCGCTCGATGGTCTAGTCGTTAGTTTACACTGAAACGTTTAAACAGTTTACGTATCGTTCCTCGACTCGCGTAATTCTCCCTTAGATTCGAATAACCATAAACCGCAACTTTCGAATTCTTCTTGTTATTCGCAAACATAATTTTTTAACAACTGTCGTAACTTTAACATTACCACCACGTTTGTCCGTTATAGCTGTTCTAGGTTATGTTCATTACGCGTAAACTGGCTTTAGATCGGCTTAGTTTCTCATGTTGCAGCAAGTTTTTCTTTTCTCAGGGATAAAACCGTCACGACGTGGAAAATATGGAAAATCGTGTCTCAGATTTAAACGATACTCTAATACATTGTATAGCTACGCGGAAACGTACAATCCACGATAAGAACAACAAACACGTTCATAGTTATGGCTGAACTGGAATCCAAGACACGGAAAAACCTGACTTCTGTTCCAATTGTCCGAGCCTCTGGACAAAAGGATTTTGGAAAAAAAGGACAGATCGTGGTAGAAGATTGGCCGAGCGAAGCAGTAGCAGAATATTAATTACCTTTGTGCTTTGCTCCGCATTTTTGGAATCGGTTAGAGGAAAATAGTGGAATCGACGTGTTTCTCGCGAGAAATGGGTTCACGATTAATACGCGTTTGAGAAAATAATCGGTTTTCGCTCTCGAGTCGCCTCAATCCTTCTCTTAACGTTTTTCTTTCGTGTTTCGCTTCGATCGAATCGGAACGCGAACGTTCTACGTCTCTTCATTGTAATATACACAGCGACCACGAAGCATTTTCATATCTATGTTCCGTTGTATCTCGTTTCGGTTACTTACTTCTACTAGTAAAAGTACAGCGTTTGGTCGTTTAACTGTGCAGCAACGTACGTGTCGCAAGTTTTGCGTCGCTTTCTATTAGGCTGGTTTACTATCCGAGCAGGCAATCGAATCTCTGCACGATCTATGCACGTAGCTCATTTTTATCAGAGATATTTTATCCATCGTCGATCCTTTCTACCGAGAAAGATTTCTAACCTAAATGTTCACGCGTTAACACCGAGCTACTTTTTTCTTTTAATTCCGCGTTGAATTTGTCACGAGATCTAAACGAAATCTAAACGATTCTTTCGTTCTCTTTTCACGGTGAAGCTTGCGGAAACTAATAAATGCTTCTGCACTATTTAACCCATTTGCATCCAAGCTTCTGTCACCAAGCGCCGACTGTTACGCGCGCTGCGACTGCTTTTTATTTCAGTCGTTTGTCGGCATCTCGCCTATATCAGTTTATTGTATTGACCATTTTGAAGAATTCCACGAAAAACAATGCGATTTAATTTCTTATTTCTTACTTTTTTAAATAAATAATTTTTTCGTTTCTCTTCTGTTACAAAGAATGTAAGATGCGATGTTTGCGAAGTAACATTATCTACCAATCGTTTTGAACGGTAAATTTCGGATAAACTCCATGAAGAACTCAGATGTCGTTTACTGCGCTTTAGACCGACCTCGCGCGGTCATGGGGACCAGTCCTCTTCAGTAGCGCCATGATGCAAATGAGTTGACGAATAAAATAAATTCACTGGCAATTAACGTAACACGTATACAGGGTGGTTGGTAATTGGTGGTACAAGCGGAAAGGGGGTGATTCTACGCGAAAAAAGAAGTCGAAAATATAGAATAAAAATTTTGTTTTAATTTTTCCATCGAGACAACGATCTACAGTGTGATCCGTTATAACGAGACGCGATAAAGTGTACGCGTACCGAGCCAAAATTCAAAGTGGATTTTCTCGAAAACAAAGCCTCGAACGAAAAATGTTTATTCTATATTTTCGACTTCTTTTTTCGCGTAGAATCACCCCCTTTCCGCTTGTACCACCAATTACCAACCACCCTGTATACGTGTTACGTTAATTGCCAGTGAATTTATTTTATTCGTCAACTCATTTGCATCATGGCGCTACTGAAGAGGACTGGTCCCCATGACCGCGCGAGGTCGGTCTAAAGCGCAGTAAACGACATCTGAGTTCTTCATGGAGTTTATCCGAAATTTACCGTTCAAAACGATTGGTAGATAATGTTACTTCGCAAACATCGCATCTTACATTCTTTGTAACAGAAGAGAAACGAAAAAATTATTTATTTAAAAAAGTAAGAAATAAGAAATTAAATCGCATTGTTTTTCGTGGAATTCTTCAAAATGGTCAATACAATAAACTGATATAGGCGAGATGCCGACAAACGACTGAAATAAAAAGCAGTCGCAGCGCGCGTAACAGTCGGCGCTTGGTGACAGAAGCTTGGATGCAAATGGGTTAAATAGTGCAGAAGCATTTATTAGTTTCCGCAAGCTTCACCGTGAAAAGAGAACGAAAGAATCGTTTAGATTTCGTTTAGATCTCGTGACAAATTCAACGCGGAATTAAAAGAAAAAAGTAGCTCGGTGTTAACGCGTGAACATTTAGGTTAGAAATCTTTCTCGGTAGAAAGGATCGACGATGGATAAAATATCTCTGATAAAAATGAGCTACGTGCATAGATCGTGCAGAGATTCGATTGCCTGCTCGGATAGTAAACCAGCCTAATAGAAAGCGACGCAAAACTTGCGACACGTACGTTGCTGCACAGTTAAACGACCAAACGCTGTACTTTTACTAGTAGAAGTAAGTAACCGAAACGAGATACAACGGAACATAGATATGAAAATGCTTCGTGGCACCCTATGTATAGCATATTCTCGTGCAAGAGACTTTAACGCGAAACTATCTCTAAGCGAGAACTGCAAATTTCTTTCGATGGATTCGCGTCTGCTCGAAGGATGCGTGCAACGTACCACCATGAAACCAGCCGAAATAAGAAATCATTGGAATCGCCGAAGATGATTCGTCGTCGCAAAGTTTGCTTTGAAAAAGATTTTCATGTTTAATCTCGTAGGCTGGAACGTTAGAAACTTAAGCATAGAAAGAGGAAACGATTTCATTCATTTGATTCGATCCGATTGAACGCTGGTACTGTACAAACGTACCGAGTAAAAGCAACTGTTGCTTTACTTCCTTCTACTAAATTTCGTTATGCGAATAAATATTAAACGGGGTCTTCCGTGGTTAAAAATACCAAAAAATCCGCTTGTTGAATTTTCATATTTTTTTCAAGTACAGGTACACTGTTCTTAGGAATATTTCCTGATAGTTTCGATACGACTACTCTGTGTAAATTGAAACAAGTCTCTTTTACATGCAAATGAAATCCCACATTCTGAAGAACGCGTTTTTCCCAAAACGACATTTTCAAAGCCGCTGAACCACGATCGATGGAAATACGAACGTTTCGAAATGAAAATCGGTCGAACGAATGTTCTCTAAAAGGCTTCGACAGATTGATTCGTTAAATTAGGCGAATTGATCGATACATTGACCAAATGTCTTCGAAATTTTCCTGTTAAACGATCCTGTTGTTATTGCAGCGACTGCGGATACCTCAGACTGGCCGAGTAAACTTCCATGATCAAGAAATCCCACGATCAAGCATCGTTAAATATCGTGGATCGCGTTCGCACGATAAATTAATGCGGAAAATACAAAATTACAAGAAAATCTATACACTGGCTGACAGCTGGCTGACAGTTGGCTTGGGAACAGGACAGAAACGGCCTAGGAACTTGGGCAGACTTGAGACAAGTTTGCCAAGTGGAATATCAGAAAAATTGAGAATCTCCAGTCTGGCGCTGTTCGAAACGACGACAACGGAAGAACAGAAAAGAGGAGATAAGAAAAACGTTAAAAATAGCACGGTTTTGCAGACAATTTGGAGGAAAAGAATCGCTCGAACCCATTGGCTGACAACTGTTTGAGAAATTCGCACGTCGCTAACACGCGTAGACATACAAAATACCGATAAACGTACCGAAATCGACACGTGGAATACATGCAATTAAGAACGAGATGTAATCGATTCTACCAAATTAGAAATTAGGTTTACAAAGGAGGCGCAAAAAAAAGAAGAAGCCCCGCGCAGTTGTGAAACAAATGAATACGTTTGCATGAGAATTTAACAAAATATTCTTCAAATGTATCTTTATTAAATACAAAAACTGTCGTAAGAATAAACGTACTACACGCTTTTCCCGGAACAGTGGCCAACAAATCGCTCTCTTGCTCTCACAACCACAGAAGACCCCTTGATTCAAATGATCGATAAGAAGAAACACATGAGAACAAACGTGATTCTTTGTTTCTATCGCGTGTTTCGCTTTGCACGGTAACCGAGCCTCTTTGTTAGCTTTAGCTCTTCGTGTTTCACATATTTCTTAAATCGTCCTTGCAGAAAAGTAATACGACTAGATCAGATGTAATTCAGCGATAAAGATTCTGAAACAAGATCATCGACTAATCATACGTACTAGCTAATAAAACATACGGTTACAAGGTGATCGGCTGGCAAAGCTACTACAAATGCCAAATGGAAAGTCAGCTAATGATACCGATTGAAAAATATCGTGTTTTAAGGTAGAAAAACGCGAGTTTCAATTTTCATTTCGCTTCGCTACGTTCGCCGATATTTCGTTCGAAGATATTCCTCGTAAAAGCAAATTTTTTACGTTCAGATAGATTACTCTGTATGCTCTTTCTTCAACGATTCGTCGTGTAATTTCTGCGAGCGATCCAATACGCCATATGGAACTTATAATAGAACAAAGTTTTTCTCGTTACAATAGGATGAATCGTGAGACATTAAGATTAAAACTAGTTTTATCATGTCTGACGACACGAAAATCGACATGGAAATATTTTATATAAAATTTAAAATACCACGCGAGTTGCATAACGAACAGAAACTGTATTCTGTAATAGTATGAACGTTTTCATAGTTTCCTATAAAAATGAATAGCTTTATGCAACTAGACGTTTTATATATAAATCCCATAATTGCGTAATAGCTGCGTATCGAGCTTTGCAAATTAGTTTATATCGGGTTTCATTTCGTCGATTAATTTGTTGCATAATCTCGTTCTAGACAAGTACGATTCGCAATGCTAATTCTTGTTACATATTCAATTTATTAAAAAGTCGCTAAAAATAAAAACGATCGTATCTCTTGTATTATACTGTATAGCGTTCGCCGTCTTATCGATGTTGTTGCATAATTACACGTTATTACGCTATTCAGCTGGAAATCGATTGAATACTTTTGCATAGTAAAATACATAAACAGGTACTTGTTCTTCTCGATAAATAATCGTTGGTTAAACACGTTTCGACGATATCGTCGAAAACGCGAGAAACGTGTCTGTTCGTGTTTGACGATTCATCCTATTTTACACACACGCTTTTAGTTTTCCTCGTACATGTTCACAGAGTCTCAACGAATAAATCAAAATTAAATATCGATTGGTCGATGCTTGTTTGTTGCATGCTGATACAAAGTTCAGGAAGCATACTCGTTTCCCTTATACGTACTTGCAGGAAAACATCGATAACTAATTGGAATAAAAGTACAAGAAACACCTTTTCCTTTATATGCTATACTACCTGATTGCACCTCGTATTGCCCCATTCTATCTTACAAGATCTATTAAATTACCTTATAAAAGTTTGTTAAATATACTATGACAACTAAAAGTTTACGACAAAAGCAGATCTTACGTTTACGGTATTTAGCCTTGCTTATTCGTTTATCAACGGATAATTTTTATGATTGCGCATGCTGAATATCCTATGTATACTGTACTGTTGCTGTAATTCAAAATTAAGTACTCGTTTAAACGTATATTTGCATGTCACGTTCGATCATTGCATTTCCTAATAGTAATAAAATCGAACGAGTTACAGAATTTTTAATTTAGCGGATACAAATACGATAGAAATTTAATTTAGTATTTCATTCAACGAAAGATCGTTAACGAAATTTCATATCCGTCAACGAAGATTACAATTAACACATTAAGATTACAATTAAGATTTTCACAAGATTAAGGTTAAGGTATGGCGCCATTTTAGAAAAATAAAGAATAGGTTAGAATATTATAGGTTAGAAAATGCAATAATCTTGATACATGGTATGCTTCCACTAGCAAATCAAAACGTACATAATGTGATTTCACTATACGGAAAAAGAGTAAAAAGTATGTTGTGCAGCGTACTAGTTGATGTTTCTGCTCATGATCTCTATTCTATCGCTAATCGTAATTTGAGAACGTACACCCGTGTGTATTATCTACTTTTGTATTTAAATATAAATATGACTTTCTCGATTTGCCACACATTCTATACATTACATATACATGTATAATAGTAATACGTAAAAACTGACTTTCATCTAAAGTTATTAAATAAATTTGATAAACGTACTGTAACAAAGTTCTCTAACAACTTGTCAAATTTACGCGTAACTTAGCAAACACGAGTACTCGCGATGTAAATATTTTGTACAAAACACTTTGTCTTTGTCAGAGTAAATATATATATATATATATGTATGTTAAGTTACTAAGATTTAAATATACGTACGTAGTAGTGCAAAAAGTAAACAAATAGTAAAACAAAGGTATTTTTTATCGCGGACGATGGTGTTTAATAAAAGTGTAGATTCGTATCGATATTTCGCGCTCTCGTGATTCCAAATCTTTTATCGTATTATCGTATCGGTACAGTGGCTCGCCAGAGTATTCGTACTCGCGCTTGTCGGTGCTTTTCTTCGACGTATTGGACGTGTTTCATCGACGCTGTAAACGCGAAACAACCATCATCGTTGTATTAAAGCTTTAAACCACTCTAAACACGTATACAAAAGTTACAACATACGTAATACAGGTGTATACCCATGAAAAAATCAGGTAAATCTGATAAACCGTTAACAAATGATAAACATCTCGCCAATTATTCGTACGATACGCTGACTTTTTAATAAACACAAATTTGCAGCAAATCTATATACAGGGTGGTTGGCAGGGCGAAAATATAGAATAAAAATTTTTTTTTTTAATTTTTTCATCGAGACAACGATCTACAGCGAGATCCGTTATAACGAGACGCGATAAAGTGCACGCGTACCGACCGAAAATTCAAAGTCGATTTTCTCGAAAACAAAGCTTCGAACGAAAAATTGTTATTCTACATTTTCGACTTCTTTTTTCGCGTAGAATCACCCCCTTTCCGCTTGTACAACCAGTTACCAACCACATTGTATACTTTCGAGTTGCGCCTCGATACGATGCTAACGAAATTTCCAAATGTTTTATATAACACGCATAGAATTCGTCTATGCGAGATGTAGGAACGCTCTTGCGAGTCACTGTATATCTTCCGATCCTTTCTTGCCAATTCAAACACAGTGGTACGTTGTTGCTGCGTTAATCCTGCTGCGAGCCTCGAATTTTTCTATCGCGATCTTGCTCTTATCTCTAGAGAAATAAGAAGACCGTTAATGTGCTAAGAAAATGCTCGATATAAAATTGAAACGAAAGCTCACACATACCGATAGCAAATCTTCCGTACGTACGTTAAAAAAATACACTAGGTCGAAATTGGCCCATCGATCGAAGCAACGCAGCAGAATTAAAACAGCGGCATTCGTTTAAAAGCTTCGAATACCGGCCAATGCTAACCGAACCTTCACCTTCACAGGCCAAATCGATTAACTGGAGGCGCGAAATTTGTGAAATTTTAACGTTACAGAGCTCGTGTCTCGTACTCGTACAATTTCATTCGATCTTCTGTACTTTCTGTTTCGCGGAGTTAATCGATTTGGCGAATAAATGGCTCGTATCTGCGTGGATTCGGAAATAGGAAAATCAAGGGGATATAAAAAGAAAAGTACGAGTGGTTCCGCCGTGTGTGAATCACGAAAGAGGAAACGACGGATGAAGAAGAAACGATACCCTTGCTCCTCGGTCTCGGCAACGTCTTCTCGACTTGGCACTGAAGGAAGTTACTTAGCGACAAAGGGCGACCTCAGCCTGGTCATCGTCGGGTCGCATCAAAATAGGCCGAGCTTTGTCCTCAAGAACTCCTTAATAGGGACATAGTATTGGTTCTTTAAGGCCACCATTTCTGGTGTCTTGCGCAAGTTATTGAAAAGCGTCGTATCCGTCTCGAATACCATGACGATCACGATAAACAAGACGATGATCGTCAGCATAAAAGCTGGAATGAAAAGCCTCGTGACTCGAACACTCTTGTGCCTCAGTTTCGCAGCGTTTGAACGTCGACCGGATTGCCGCTGATGCTGCAGCTGTTGTTGCTGCTGCTGTTGTTGTTGTTGCTGCTGCTGCTGGAGACAAACTTTCGAGTTTTGAAGTTTCTGCATTTGTGGCACCGGGGTCACCGAGCGACTGTGCGGTTTGCCCGATGCATCCAATAGTTGGCTTTCCGACGACGAATGATCGAAAGAATCTCTAAAGTAATAGTCGTTAATTACACCTTCGTGCTGACCGGCTGAAACAGAAATTCCCCGAAACTTTTAGCGATAGTCGCAAGACGCGATCGTTATTCGTGAATGTTATTACGTATGAAGATAAACGGATTTATCGATCAATTTTTCTTTCATTTCGATAACTGATTTAATACAAGGTAATTAGGTACGAAAGGGGCCTCAACTCCAATTTTGTTGAATTCCCGACGTGTCGTAGACAGATGGTCCTGATTAACGCGCGCTTTGTTCCACGCGTGGAACGATCGTGCTTCAGAAATTATAACGAAAAGAAAACTGTACTTGTCAGATATTACGTTTACTCCAATACGTGGTTAAAAATGAAATTGCGTATGCATTTGCACAGGATTGCGATCCTAATAGTGGTAAACACGATCCTAAACTCCCGTGGTGACGATAGGTGTCACGATTACGCGGCGGAATGTGTGTTTCTCCCATTCGCCACCATCAGCCTGCTACCAACAGCCTTGTCGCGGAGTAGTCAAAACAATGGGGACACAAGGACGTAATTTTGTGTGTCCTAAAACAAAGGTAGAATTATATGTATATACGTGTGTAACCACAAGTAGAGCCGTTTGTGAATAAATAATATATATATGTCGGAGATGAGGGGACATCGGGGCCTTTCTTTTGAGATTTTTGGCAAGATCCCCGATACTTTAGTCTAGACCATTTATTATAGCTGTACTTAAATGATAAAACTTAGAAATAGTCGTTACGATTCAATCCTATTATGTTTGCCCGAGATTTGTGACAGTGGCCTTGGGCTCGAGGTGACGCAACTGGTCACCGAACGTTCCACGGTCACGGGATGAACGTTTTTACCTGACAGAGAAGTGCCAATATTGTAGGACACACGTTGTATTAACGATCAAACCCCGGGCAGGAGCAATGTCAACTCTACGCGGGTCTGCCTAGCAACGGCGGCTGGAATTTTGTTGGTATCCCCGGCCAATATGCAACGAACGAACGTGATCGTAAGGAGAAGAAAGTTTCCATCGGTCTTTTATTCTTGCGATTGCCTTGCAGAGTTTTCACGTCGTCTTTACGTGCGGTATTATACAGAGCGTCACAGCGAACGTTACTTTGTGCTTCGAAATATATTCTGCGTTTAACAAAGAGTTACCCTGTCGACCGTGGATTCGTTATCGAGCCTAAGAACATTGTCATTAACATCTCGAGTATCTAATCACCACGGTTATTTGTCAAACTTTGCAAAAATCATATTTATACCAGTAAATACAATCTCTATTGTACAACAACGATGGCTAGTCCGAAGAAAGATTCGTTACACGCTCCTAAACCTAACGCTAACCCGACATATATGTCGGAGATGAAGGGACATCGGGACTTCCCGTCTGGAATGTTGAGAAAAAGCCCAATACCCTGGTCCAGACTTTTACTGCAGCTACACTTAAGTAATAAAAATAAGAAATAGTTTTAATGTTCCAATCTAGCTTTATGACGATGGGCTTGGGCCCTAAGTGACATAGAACGTAGCCACTGTCACGGGAGGGACGTGTACCTGACAGAGGTATGGAATGATTATATGGCTCTCCTTAAAAACAAAGACTGACCCGAGAGGTAGGGGGAGGAATATATAAGGGCAGTTGCACTTGGATCTTTTTGCAGATAAGTTTTACTTGTACGTGGAGTAATTCGTGAATCACATCGCATTCGTCATCCCGTGGACCGTGGATTCGTTATCGAACCTAAGGCCATTGTCACTAGTGTCGCGCAAGCCAAATCGCCGTGATTGATTGTCAAGTCTGTGGTATCTATACTTGTGTTAATAAACCGTACCTTTGTTATACCATAACGATGGCCAATTCCAATGAAGATTTATCAAACGCCCACAACCCTATTCCTGATTCTTCTCCGACATACATCAAACGCCCACGACCCTATCCCCAACGTTAATCCGACATATGTATCTGTCGGGTTTACATTAGGATTAGGGTTAGGGGCGCGAAACGAATCTTCGTTTAGATTACACGTTGTCGTTATGTAATAGGGGAAACATTGACTAGTGCAAATACGATTATCATAGAACTGGACAAGTAACCGTGGTAATTAGATACTCGAGAGATTAATGACAATGATCCTAGGTTCAGTAACGAATCCGCGGTCGACGGGATGATAGATGAACGTGCTCACAAAATCTAAGTCGGACGCGCAATATTCACTGGTCGTAAGGGGTTACTCTTTTCGTCGATGAGATCGCGAGAAAGAAAGAATGAGTTTCCGTCCCGATGATGTCACAGAGGAAAACTTTGATGGGGTGTGTCAAAGGACACGAGATCATCGGATTCGTCGAGGATAGCCTTCGTTCAGAATTCGTGTTCGTTCAGAGAGAAAGGGAAATTGGCGTTGCTGCTAATTGGTCAATCTCCATATCGGTGGTTAGAAAAAGATGCTAGCCGCCCTCGAAGGAAAGTTGCTAGTGGGAGACGCCGTTCGTTGAAAAAGATAGGTCCCCCCTATCTTCCCGTAGTTGAGACAAAGACTGTTTGTTTGAAGGACTTTAGTCAGCTAAATCTTAAGATTTGTAACGGGCCCTCTGGCTAGCTGAACATGTACCGCGGAGACGCATCGACATCTGGCAATCATCTTGCTCGAAGAATAGGGTCTGCGTGTGGCGAGCCACGGGAGAGAAACCGTTGGAATGTTTACTGTCGCGTGCCGCCACAAATATTTCCCTTAAGGAGAGCTATAGAATTACTCCATACCTTTGTTAGACAAAGCGTTCATCCCGTGACCGCGGCTACGTTAGGCGACAGACTGTCGCCTCGAGCCAAAGCTCACTATCACTAATCTCGAACAATTACAATCGGATTGAATAACTACAATTGTTTAATTACAGCTATCGTAGACTCTAGATTACAATGTTATCCAAAATTCCAGAGGCTCCGGTGTTCTTTCATCTCCGACATATCTATTTATAAAGTATCATGAAAATTATAAAAAGACTTTGCTCCATTCCTTTCACCACGTGCTACTCGAAACTGTTTTGACTACTCCACGTCAGCGTCCCGTGTGCTCTTAATTCGGCCGCCGTAAGCCTGCCAGCGATCAATTGTCCGCAGCAATAAACCTACATAAGTAAGAATCCTCCCTTACTTCCCTGTGCTAATACTGTCGGTTAAAGTTGTTGCCAAACTGCTATAGTCGGTGAAATCTGGTATCGGGAATTTTCGGGCGTAAATGGGCCGTGTATCGAATATCAGCTACTAATTACTTTGTCACTTGTTTAGGTTTGTCACGCGTGAAATTTGTCCATTACAATTTGTCCTCTACCTTGTAGCAGCAACTATTGTAAGCAGTAAGCGGTAACGCATCGAATACGTTACAATACCTAGAACGTGCTTATATCTAGTTAGTAAATTATTAAAAAAATGAAGATTTACCGATTTCGAACTACTATGTGAAATTCGACTAGTCGGAGAGGAGTGGATGCTAAAGAAATTTCTGGCGATAATCATAAATTTCAAGTATCGAGGGAAGCGAATGTTTGCCACCTTTCAGTCGAAGGTAATTGCAGGTATTCTTGATTTTCGTCTAATTTTGGCTTCAAGAATCAGCCTTTAAATTTCTTGACATCTGACGCCGAACACCCTACGTTGGTAGATCACATGATACGACGATACGAAGCGTGATTACATCGATATCGTGTGAAGATGCGAGTACGAGTAGTCTGAGAAAGTGTGAGAACAGAAGGAACGTATGAATGTACGGAAAATGTATATGTCAGCAGTTTCTGATGTCAAGTAGGCAAAACGTATCTATAAATGCAGATGAAAAAAGCCTTGACTAATTGCCTGCGAGTCCTTTCCACCGATCTCAGATTTCACTTCTTTTGATCGCACTTTCGAATGGTTTGTCTTTTACGATATTGCAATTTAGTATAACGTTTCTTATAACGTCCACCCTTTCCAAAGCGCGGCTGGGACGATTCTTAGAATCTTAAGGTGGCCTTTACGGCTGCTGCTGTAAATTCTTCCAGATCTCGACGATTGATTCGTCGCTTATTAATCAATTATCCTTCGCCCGATGTATCGCGTTTGTCCGTACGCATTGATAGCGAAACACTCGTCTTCTACGTCTCGAGAGACGCGCCAAAGCTTTTTCATTCGAGTTAAGTGCCTTCGAGTAACATAAGGCGTGTCAATTGTCCTAGGGAAGAAGATTGTGACGTTCGAAGACCTGAAACATCCCACGCGACGTTATCCGATAAAAATCACAGATCAAACTCTATATCTGCCTACTCGTTAAAATCCATGTGGTGGATGAAAAGAGAGTTTTGCGTTTTGTCCCGGGACTACCGGTAGACTCGTCAGTAAGGCTATGCCCGGTAGTCCCTGCCTTGGACGTAGAGGGAATCTCGCTAGGTGAGGTATTTATATCATTCGCCCGTATATTCGACCGCTAGCGAGATAGACAGACTCGTTGTCGTCGTAGCCCTCTGGTGTTGGCGGTTGGTACCCGTGGATCGCCCGGGAGGTGTTGCGCCGCGTTGATGCCTCGATCTGTCGGCGTCCTATTGATACCGATCCGCTACATCCATAACACTGTATCGAAAACCGCCTCGTGAAACTTTCGAGTAAAAAGGGTCGATGTTTCGTCCGATCTCCTGTCTGCACGAACAATTGATAATTAATAGGACGTGCAAACGATGTTTGTAAAAATGGACTGTTATGGGTTTTAACGAGTAGGCGGATATAACGTTTGATCGGCTTAGATATGACAACACCAGATTATATACTGGTAGAGGAATGCAAATTAATAGAAATGAAAGAAAAGAGCAGCGAGGTATGAAGAAGCCCTAGAATCAAAAAAGGAATTAGTAAAAGAATGCATAAAGGAAAGAGAGAGAGAGAGAGAGAATGGGGGAATAGTCAGAAAGGGAAAAGAGCAAGAGAGAGAAAGAAGGGACTAGAAGAGGTGAGAAAAGGAGAGACCCAGATAGAAACAGGAGAGGAGCAAGAAAGGATGACAGTAGACTAAATTATAGAAGAAAGAAGAAAGAGAGAAACAGAAAAGAGGGGGGAAAGGATAAGGGAATCCAAGAACAACATACGCTACAGAAACACAGCCAAAGAAAAATGACCAAAGTACTTGGAAGGGAGGATGAAGTGGAAGGACAGAAGAATACTGGCAAGATTCAGATGCGGAAACGAGACCAAAGCAAGGGAATACTGAAAAGAAGAGGGGGAAGAAAGATGCAGACTATGCAGAAGGAAAGAAGAAGACTTAAGACGTGTAATAGAAGAATGTGAAATAACTGGAGGACCAAAGGACATAGGAAAAACGCTGAACGAGACTGGAGAAGGTTTAGCAGAACCGAAAGCAATAATAGAGAAGAGAAGGGCAAACGACAAGGAGGAGGCACAGCAAGGAGGCTAAGGACCAAAGTTGCAATAGTTTTTAGTCATTAATTGATAATTTATAGTTCCTAATTTTTAGATTTTAGCGGTAGAATAAGCAAGACATGTAAGAAGGGAATTGGATGTAAGAGATGTAAAACCGAAAGTTCGTGCAAAGCCGAAAGGCACGGACTAAACAATAATAAGTAATAAGTAATAAGATCTACGATTTTTATTAGAAAACGTCGCGTGGGATGGTTCGAGTGTTCGAATGTCATAATCTTTTTCTTTACCACTTGTACGAAGTAAGCTGCTGCCTATATATCGTTATCGATTTCAGGATCCCTGTGCACCCCGCTACGTAGGCTGACCTACTTTCGTTCGTGTAAGGATGTTTGCTCGCGCACAGGGGCATTTCGGCTAATTTTTATTCGTCAATAATTAAAAAACAAAACCGAATACGCAATTTTTCATCTTGAGTTTCATCTTATTTTCACTTCAAGAATCACCGTTTAAATTTGTTCACACACAGCTTGTATACACCTGTATACCTGTTTCGTTCAAATAAAGTGTAGCTATTTGTCTTTTGATCTCTAGCGATACATAATCACGTTCGAAAAGGGAGAAAGATATACAACAAGTATTTGTCGGCGTTCGATCTGGAATAAATAAAAATTTCCATTTTCGTTATCAAACTAGAGATGCTTCGATATAGTCGCCAAGGACACGCGGCAAAGACGGACTTGATCGCGAATCATAGAATTGCAAGATCGTCGACTCTCTGAACGCTGAGCGTTGCTAATTTAGGTTTTGCCGACAATCTGTTAATATCGGTTGTTCAGTTGCAAAGTGTTTTAAATATCGTCGTATGGTGGTGACTTAAGTATCTTAGGAACTGAAATATTTATTAAAAACACAACAGTTATGCATATTTTTTGTTGACAATTCTAGAAAAATACGAAGCTCGAAGAAACACGATATTTAAAAAATTGGCGCTACGATAATAATATAAGAATTAGAAAAGAAAAAAGGTATAACAAAACTAGAGCTGAGAGAGCAAAGAATTCATTATTGTGGATGATAAGGTTAGTAATGCAATAATTAGTTAAGCACAATTGATCGTATAATGTTTTAAAATACGTTATTTAGAATACGTTCCTCTAGATGAAATCTCTAAAATCTACACGTGCAGTGCAGTGTAAGAACTGGTCATAAAAAGGACCATGCCTTTTTACTTTTTACGTACAAAGACTCATGCCAATTTTATGCTCAATTCGATGCAATAAAAAGAAGAACGAAAGAAAAGAACGAGTACTGTCTAGTTTGATGTAATCATGTATATACAGTGGCTCACAAAAGTAATCGAACACTTATTACTACACAACATCTTCACAAACGTAACGTGCGCATTATACAAAACTGTAACGAGAGGCAACTTTCGTAATGACGATCAAACATGAAAACAATTCGAAAATGTACCTACGAGTTACAAGACACTTATTGCAAACGTACGCTGGGCGAAAAATTAGTACACAGCGGTAGCGCGGTAATCTTAAGCACGCTAAATGATGTAATTTATTAATACTGCGATTAATCGACCGTAGAGAAATTTTGGTGACATTTGCGAAACGTATGTTTGCATAAATACTACGCAACGTTCGGGTGACTCGTCAAAAATTAAAATAAATTAAATCGTGTTATTTCTCGCGGAATTCTTCAAAATGGTCAATACGATAAACTGATATAGGCGAGATGCCGACAAACGGGTGAAACGTGAACTCTCGCATCTGAAGAATATTTAGCGACTGAAATAAAAAGCAGTCGCAGCGCGCGTAACAATCCGCGCTTAGATACAAATGGGTTAGCTAGTTGGCAATCTGATAATGTCGCCTACGACAGAGGAAGACACGAAGAGAAGAATACGAAACGCTGTCAAGACCACGAGTGCAACAATGCTGTCAAATACGAAATACAGCTGTTGAGATATGTATAATTTTCTGTGCTGGACAAGGTTAAATGCGTAGTAGAGATACTTGTATGTGAATATCAGTGTGTGGAAGTATGTGTGTCCGAAGCGTCTCGAAAACAGATGAATGTAAACTCTTCGGTCGGTTAAGGTCCGTCGAAGAGTCGGTTAAAAGTCGTCAAAGAGTCGGTTTACGGTCGGGTATAGGAGAAGATGCTGAGACGCGTGCAAGTGTGTATCGATGAATATATAAGGAATCGTCCATGAAATAAATATATCATTGTTTTAATATTAATCCTCGGTATAAATTTAATGTTCCTATAACATTATTTCGGCCTCAAAGATCCACAATTCTCAACAACAGCCAAAAGCTTCCTACTAGCAACTTTCTATCGAGGGCGGCTAAGAAGACCCTTCCTAGTCCACCAACCTTCGTTTATCCAATCAGAAGCAATGTATACTGCCCTCACTTTCCTGACCAAAAATGTCATGAACAAATCCGATAGTCCCGTGTCCTTAGAACATTCCCAATAGAATCTGGTATACCTCAAGGTAGTGTCCTCGGACCCCTGCTGTTCTCCATCTACACTTCCGACTTACCTATATCAAACGAGATAACAATAGCAACATTTGCTGACGACACAGCGCTATCAGCTACCCACGCAGACCCGGTAATTGCCTCATCCACTCTACAGCGATATCTCGGCTCCATGGAAAAGTGGTTTCATAAATGGGACATCAAAATTAACGAAAAAAAATCCTCACATGTAACCTTCACGCTCCGAAAACAAACCTACCCCCAGGTCACCATCAATACTACAACAATTCCTAGCAGGGACTCAGTCAGATACCTGGACATGACCCTGGACAGGAGACTAATATGGAAAAAACACATCTCAGATAAAACGAAGCAACTAAAGGACAAACTAAAAAAATTCTATTGGCTCACGGGCCGACGCTCCAAACTAAACATACAGAATAAAATTACCCTCTACAAGACCGCAACAAAACCTGTTTGGACCTACGGAATCCAACTATGGGGAACAGCAAGTAACTTCAACATTGAAATACTTCAGCGTTTCCAATCGAAAGCGTTAAGATCCTTAATTGATGCACCTTGGTATGTTACCAACGAGACAATACATCGCGACCTCAAGATACCCACAGTCAAAGAGGAAATAACAAAATATAGCGACAGATATAGCAAAAGAGTGAACAAACACCGAAAACCCCTAATCACTGGACTACTTGATACGTCGGACCAGATTCGCAGGCTGAAGAGGCACTACCCGCTAGACCTAAACGCTAGATTCAATTAGTTATCTAAATTAAGTAATATTCACTTATTTATAACACTTACTTATAAATTATACTTATCTATAATAAGTATTAACTTATTATAAATAATCAGCCATGCCACTGCGCCACGCCAGAAAAATTACCGAAAATTCTCAACGCGAGAATTGATTGTAATTTTAATAAATAAATAAATAAAAAAAAAACGTTTATTGTCTCCCACGTGTTAGCATGGAAAGTTGGTTTCCTTCGCATCTGGTATATTCCGTTAGCAACTGTTTCGCGAGGGCGGCTAAAACCCTTCCTGGTCCACCAACCTGGTCTTATCATCCAATCGGAGACGGTGTCTACTGCCCTCGCTTCCTTAACCAAAATTGTCATCAACAAATCCGATAGTCTCGTGTCCTTAGACACACCCACCCCTTGCTTTCATCAGACACAGTATCGTCGGTAAGACTCACTTATTCCGTATCCTTAGAATAGTCGACATATCTTTACCGGTCTCTACCCTTATAACAGTCGCAGTGTAACTAAGTCTTACATAAGGTGGTTGGAGTGAATTGTGATTTGTGTTAATTCAGTGTGTATTACATTGTGATTGCTGAATTCGTAATAAAGTTTAATTAAAAGAAAATTAATAGTTGTGTTACGACTCAGCTATTTTATTTCATCAACCAACGCTTAAGTTTACGTGACATCGGCTTCGGGGTTTCCAGCCAGGGTGCGGATCTGGACCAGCTCAAATTGTATTCTTGCTTATAATTACACTTCTATTTAAATATTATTTTCTACCTTACAATTTATCCACGAGTTTCTCTGTTTACACATCGAATAACCTCGACATAAATGAACAGAAATTACCGTGACATGGCATTTCTCGAAATGTCAACAGTCGTCTGAGAAAAATCTCTCGATCGTCGCGAATACCCAACCCTCTGTGGTAGCATTGAAACAGCGAAAACGAGTGGACGATTGCTATAGTTTGCGAGAAAGCGGCTTGTAACGCTGTATACAGGCTGTACAGGCTATACAGGATACAGTTGGCAAGAACGTTCGAATACTTTCGTGAACCATCGTGAGTAATATTTAGTGGAGGAGCATCGAATAAAATAGGTAGTAGAAAAAAGGATCGTCTGGCGCGTGTGTTGTTAATTAGTGAATGAAAGAGAAACGATCGCCTAATTTACCTGTCCTTTGCCGTCGTTTCGTGGCTTCGACTCCGTTTCTAACGTCTTCGACGTCACTTGTCGCCGATGCAATGTAACCGTTTGCCGTTTTCGTGGTGGAAGCGATGCCGCGACATTCAACCTCATTCTCCTGACGAACGAGCATGCTTACCTGCTCGTTAGACCTGCGCAAGATCGTCTTACCGCTGTTAGAATCGAATGGACCGTCTATCACCGTCGTGATGATCGTTCCCGAATCGGCTGCCGGGAACACGTACGTCTCGTTCGCGATTTCTTTACCAGCTTTCAGCGATTCTGCCGCCACTTTCGAACTCTTTATGATCAAAGCGGTCGACCTGACCACCTTCGGACTCTTTTCGAGGGCGTTTATACGTTGCCTGACGACGTTATCGATGTTACGGCCGACTAACTCCTCCGAACCTATCACTATCTTTTGACTGTACAATGGCTGAGGTCGGTTCGCCGTGCTCTTGGGATATTTCATTCTAACTTTCGCACGATTTGTGGTGGTGTTGAAAGTGATGGTGGTGGTAGTGGTGGTGGTGGTAGTGGTGGTGGTGTTGTGGGTGGCTCTCACATGCGTATCATTTTCGTCTACTGCTAAACGAACAGAAAGAAAAAGAAAAGACAAATGAACGATCTAAGAAGCCAAAGAAGCGCCGATTCTATGTCGTTCTTTCTTTTTCTCTTCCCTTTCTCAAATAACGTGTTTACGACCGGCAACGTTTTCTATTTAATTGCCAATTATTCGATATCGATGCATTTCCATCATTTCCATCCGAATTACGATCAATTTCTTCTTAAAATTCCGAACCAAAGAGATACCACGCCAAAATAAACTATCGGCTTTTAGGGAACTCCACGTTTTTATCTTTTTCGCGTGTCACAAAGTATTTTTAAGCTGAAAACATTATGATTCCTTTAATTCGATCGTACCGCTCGATCGAATATAATTACTTTACTTACGCGATATTCTTTAAATAATTTCCGTTCGAAACGTGTTCGAAATATCGTCGACCGTTTGAATCAACGATTAGATATAAATAATGAATTTCTTGAAATTCAAAGCCACGGCGAGAAGATAGCAAACAAGTAAACGTAACGAATATGCAAGCGTCTATCGCAAAGTACACCGAATATTCTGTGAGGATACGTTTCGTATAATACGGGGTGGTTGGTAACTGGCGGTACAAGCGGAAAGGGGGTGATTCTACGCGAAAAAGGAAGTCGAAAATATGGAATAAAAATTTTGTTTTTAATTTTTCCATCGAGACAACGATCTACAGTGAGATCCGTTATAACGAGACGTGATAAAGTGCACGCGTACCGAGCCAAAATTCAAAGTGGATTTTCTCGAAAACAAAGCCTCGAACGAAAAATGTTTATTCTATATTTTCGACTTCTTTTTTCGCGTAGAATCATCCCCTTTCCGCTTGTACCACCAGTTACAAACCTATGGCCTATGTATTAGCTTCGGGCCAATATCGTTAATCCGACCGGCCATCGATTTTCACAGCGATAAATCTACACGCATAAGTAAATATTCTCTCTTATTTCTCCGTACTATTATCCTGCCAGTCGGTTAAAGACGTTGCCAGTCAAAAACTGTTATCGGTCAAAGCTCTACGGTCGATGAACTGTTCTCTACTCTACTGTTCGAGTATACTCGATAAATTTTCAAATTCAATTTTCTCGAAAACGGCGACGCGTTATATGAAGAAACTTTACTCTGTATTTTCTTCTTTCATAAGGAATCGCTTTGTACACGCTTATTCGTTGGCATATTGTTCAGCCGAATTTTGTATATCGCTTGAAAAGGGCTCAGAGTATAGCGACTATAGGCGTAGGTCTATGTACGTTTTAAAGACAGCGTGTGCACACGAACTTGGCGTAAAAATTAGGCGAAGTAAGTAAAACTGACATTTCTGTGCCGCCTCGAAGGACTTTCGCTCAGCAACGCATAGTACCTTTCGTGATATCGAATAAAGCGTTTATATGTTTGTACATTATATACATATTTGCTCTCTTTTATCGTAATTCATCGTCAATCATCCGTGTTAATTGTACAGCTCGGTGCATACATTTTATGAGACACATATACACATTCGCACATGCAACTGAGAAGACCCGTCTCTTACATTGTACATATCGATAAAGGAACCATGCGTCACGATGGAATGCACTTACAACACGCATGTGTAAATAAGCATAATTAATTTGTTTCAGATTTAAAAGATCATTTTTTTGTTACGATATCGTTATAGCTTATAACATATAGATGATCTTAGTAATACTCAAGAAGCCCTGTATCGTGATTCAGTCGACGAATATTTCTGGAGACAAAGCTTCGATCAAAGCGAGACGAATTCTCGACTGCGATACATTAGTTTCGAAATAACCGATCGTAAAATAAGTTTCTGTAAATGCGGAACGAGGAACGTTCGTGAAACTTTAGGTCATTTAGGTTGCTTTTCCCCGTACCTTTTACGATTCGTTGCCCATTTCCCTATTAAGCTTTTCCTCCTAGTTTCTTAAAACTCCGACTGTAACTTCAGCTTCCGTTGCTTTAGACTGAACTCTTAGAAACATCGTATTACTTATCGAATTATCTAATATTATCCAGTGGATTGCTGAGACTCTTTCGATAAGGGCGAATTATAACGACGTACGTAGATATATCCAGTTACGTAGAAACTCCGATAACCATACATTTTCAATCTATCCATCCACTTTCTAAATCGGTTACAACGACGTTTTTATGCAAAAATCGTTGACACAATCTTTGGTAAGAATTTCGCGAAGACCAGATCGAAAATATAACGTTACATTAATATTCGAACATAGCACTATCTCTGTATTGCCTTGTGTAAAAGGGGATGATTTAAATATCGCGTTGCTTATTCTACGACAATACGAACTACGTGTAGCTCGAAAGTAGATAAACAATTTCTTCCTCGTAATCTTTATATTATTTCTTTTTTTTTAATCTATATAAAATTCTTTATATCTTTTAACAATATCCGTAATATCTGTCTAATCGATAGTAAGAATCGTGTTATTTCAGGACAATCTTTCCCTCCTCTTGGCGATAAACTGCAAGCTGTCTTTTATCGAAATTAACATTCCTTCCTCCAAGTTTATCGATGTGTCGTGAAAATATCGGTGCTGATTAATTATGCTATAAAATAAATCTATTTCGCTATAGATTATAGAACGCCACGGCCGTGAAAATAAGATTTCGTTAAAAGAAAACCTATCGTACGATTAAAAGTTATCGTTAGGAAGAAACTGCTTTGGTACTTTCAAGCTACCACGTATGGCTTGTATTTTAAATAAAATAAGCAACGCGACACGTAAATCGCCTCCTGTTATAAAAAGCAACAAATACAAATAAATGGTGCTGTGTATAATGGTGCGAATATCGACGCGAGTAACCGCATATCGTAATTTCCGTTACCAAAAATATTAAAAAGTCCGTTCGGTTATCTAACGTGTACGCGATATTTAAATATTGTTCATATTGCAAGCAAGCGACAGGGTCGACACGCTTAAGAAATTCATTCAGCAACTATCGTACACGGTACGTTAAACTTTTAAACTTCGCAACAACGATTCGTATAACTCTCACTATGGTTTCGTCATATCGGACTAAACTGGATAAATCGATGTTTCGCGTTTCTGGATGCAAGACGAATGTAATTACAGGCTAAACGCTCTAACGGAGAACTTTCAAAAGAAATAACGAATATATGAAATTGCAAGAGACACGCACTGGTGAAAAGATTCGAATTGAAAGCTTACGGTATAAACCGCGTAAATTTCGAAATACAACTGCATAATAGAAACTTTTATTCGAGACGAAACGTATTTAAAGTACGCATCTTGTTACTTTTACTGATAAATAGAATTTCAATTAAGGTAGCTCGCGAGTAACAAATAAAACACACAGGGCAAGTCATTGGAATATGATAAAATTCGAAGAACTTGGAACTTGGAAAAATACATTGAAAGGAAATACTATGCTTCGATCGATAACAAACGATAAACTAACCGCGCTACGTGAACACGATTCTGTCCAAATTGCTATTTAAAATAAGAAAGATTGGGCGTAATATGGTACGTATGGGAATATATCTTAGGATATTACCGGAGCCTTTCAGCCAGACATAAAAATACTTGTATCGTGCGATATCGACGTCTGAGAGTAATATCGGTAAAGTAAGAAACCAATTGTGTACATGCGATCGATATGATATAACGGCAAACGTAATTATAAGATTATCGACTTGGTAATAGAGAAATATTCGTCGACTGAATCACGATACAGGGCTTCTTGAGTATTACTAAGATCATCTATATGTTATAAGCTATAACGATATCGTAACAAAAAAATGATCTTTTAAATCTGAAACAAATTAATTATGCTTATTTACACATGCGTGTTGTAAGTGCATTCCATCGTGACGCATGGTTCCTTTATCGATATGTACAATGTAAGAGACGGGTCTTCTCAGTTGCATGTGCGAATGTGTATATGTGTCTCATAAAATGTATGCACCGAGCTGTACAATTAACACGGATGATTGACGATGAATTACGATAAAAGAGAGCAAATATGTATATAATGTACAAACATATAAACGCTTTATTCGATATCACGAAAGGTACTATGCGTTGCTGAGCGAAAGTCCTTCGAGGCGGCACAGAAATGTCAGTTTTACTTACTTCGCCTAATTTTTACGCCAAGTTCGTGTGCACACGCTGTCTTTAAAACGTACATAGACCTACGCCTATAGTCGCTATACTCTGAGCCCTTTTCAAGCGATATACAAAATTCGGCTGAACAATATGCCAACGAATAAGCGTGTACAAAGCGATTCCTTATGAAAGAAGAAAATACAGAGTAAAGTTTCTTCATATAACGCGTCGCCGTTTTCGAGAAAATTGAATTTGAAAATTTATCGAGTATACTCGAACAGTAGAGTAGAGAACAGTTCATCGACCGTAGAGCTTTGACCGATAACAGTTTTTGACTGGCAACGTCTTTAACCGACTGGCAGGATAATAGTACGGAGAAATAAGAGAGAATATTTACTTATGCGTGTAGATTTATCGCTGTGAAAATCGATGGCCGGTCGGATTAACGATATTGGCCCGAAGCTAATACATAGGCCATAGGTTTGTAACTGGTGGTACAAGCGGAAAGGGGATGATTCTACGCGAAAAAAGAAGTCGAAAATATAGAATAAACATTTTTCGTTCGAGGCTTTGTTTTCAAGAAAATCGATTTTGAATTTTGGCTCGGTACGCGTGCACTTTATCGCGTCTCGTTATACTGTAGATCGTTGTCTCGATGGAAAAATTAAAAAAAAAAAAATTTATTCTATATTTTCGACTTCTTTTTCCTCGTAGAATTACCCCCTTTCCGCTTTTACGACCAGTTACCAACCACCCTGTATAAGAATAGCTATATTTCCTTTTAACGTGGCTTGTGTCGTTGCAGTTGATCTAAAGGTTATGTAAATCAGTAGCCGGAAGGATAAGACGAGTTGATCCGTGTAGTACTATCTATTTAGCGAATGATTCCGTTTTATTGGAATTTTCTGTTAGGTATGTGTATGGTAAGAAGGTGCAACAGAAGATAATTCATAAGAGGTTCCTGAAGCACTCCTGTCATACGCGTAGGATGGTCATCGTGGAGTTTTAGTCGCTAAGAGTCGACGCTACTCTGCTGTTACCGATTACTAGCAGCAGCGGAGTGTCCACGAGGATTTCTCTACGTGCAAAAATGAAAAAAAAGAAGGTACGTGTGTGGTGGTTCGAACGATGTCGAGATTCTGGTAGCTTAGAGAGCTTATGAAACGTCTAATTGGAAGGTCCAGTATGGTGTCTTGTACCTCTGATGCGACGGATACCTGTCTGAATAAGAAACTTGGCTGATGTATAACCAATCATATCCGTGTTCCTTCCGAGAGACTTCTCAGCAAAGCACAGTACACGCTTAAAGTCTATATTGATGCAATTAGTTAGAATTCGATGAACAGGAAAACTTGCATTCGCGTGCATTCTCTATTATTGTACGGGAGATCAGCTAAGAAACGATTCGATCGAATAGATCGTATGAAAGAAATCTGTAATTAAGATTCATATTTACTGTAAGCCATGCGTCTCGAATCAGCGTAAATATTCGATTGAATAAAAATCCAGAAGAAAAGACGAATGACAAAATTCTATGTACAAGAGAATTAAATGCGTGACTGACCGTTATTTCTTCTGCCATGAATTTCTTGGTCCTCCGAGACAGGTTCTAGAAGTGGTAAAGTGTTATCTGGACAATAAGGTGAACTGAATGGAACGCCGGTACTACCTTCTGACATTCCAGCACCGTCCAAACCTGCACTGTGACAGCTACGTGGCAAACTGGAATATCCTAAAAATTCCAAACTCATAAGCATCGTATCTAAACTGTTTTTGGTTAATTGAAAATACAAAACTGCCGATTTTTATACATTTTATACATTTGTAAGAATTTACAAACTGCAAACATGCACACAGGATGCAAATAATTTACAGAAATGTAGAAAATGTCAAGGGTATAATGGTCTCCCTAACACTTAGGTAAAACAATTTTCTATCTAAGCTCCGTTTTGTTCCTTATATTAGTAAAAATATAAATTCGCATAAAAATCTGTAGTACAATGTAAAGAACGTTTGAATAGCGATCAGTCTCCGTCTCCCTATCTTTTTTCTTTTCTATTCGTACAGCTACAGTGTATACACTATCGTCCACAAGGCATGGAACACTCAGCACGATTAGCATAAGTACGAATGGTCGTTGCAATTACAAAATGAAATTCATACTTATTAACCGTATATATTGTGAGAAGAATTGTAAATCAAATTATGCTTGTTTACTTGTTACAATTACATCCAGAATGTGGCATGGTGTTCTACTAAACTTGTAGTTTATCGCAATACCGTTACACTTTTGCCTTTGAAATTCCCATCAGGATGGATAAATCTGGCTTTTGCCACACTGTCTCTACTCTTTTTCCATCCTTGCTTGTCTACCCAGCCACGCGAGAACACCAAGAATGTTGAGAATTATCCTGACTTTCTTGCACGATCCTCTTCTCATTGTTTTCTTGTTAGTAATCGGACGTCGTTACAGCTTCGTTTATCGTAGAAAATCAGTATTTACCGGCAATTGATAAATCGACTGTGCGACTGAACAGGTTTGCTTGCACTTATACGCGCACCTTGGTAGATATTTATACAATTACAAAACAAAATACGAGTTCTGCATCTCATTTTGGGTTAGCATCGTTTTGATGCTCAGTATGCGCCCAATTTCTATCTATTTCTATCTATTCAGGTATTTGCGAAACAGAGGCAAGATTCGCATCTATTCCTCGCGAATATCTTGCTACGCTACGTACTAATTTCTGTATTAACACGTTGACTGCCACGCGTGTTTTCAACGAAATCTCCGTCAGGCCACGCGTACCAAACGATCTCTGCTAGGTGCTCCTGTAACGTCACTTCACATCAGAGATCAGGCCACACACCACGGACAGGATGACACCCAGATGTCTGCACATCCTTGGCGCGTACCCTCAATAGTCTTAAATACCCACCAGGGGTCTTGGAATTTTCATAGTTAAGGTCCTTCGGACCAAGCGAGTATCTCTTGTCTTGGATTCCCTTTTACGTTCATTGTCTACCACGTGTTAGCATGGAAAGTTGGTTTCCTTCGCATCTGGTATGTTCCGTTAGCAACTTTTTCGCGAAGGTGGCTAAAACCCTTCTTGGTCCACCAACCGTCTTATCATCCAATCGGAGACGGTGTCTACTGCCCTCGCTTCCTTAACCAAAATTGTCATCAACAAATCCGATAGTCCCGTGTCCTTAGACACACCCACCCCTTGCTTTCATCAGACACAGTATCGTCGGTAAGACTCACTTATTCTGTATCCTTAGAATAGTCGACATATCTTTACCGGTCTCTACCCTTATAACAGTCGCAGTGTAACTAAGTCTTACATAAGGTGGTTGGAGTGAATTATGATTTGTGTTAATTCAGTGTGTATTACATTGTGATTGCTGAATTCGTAGTAAAGTTTAATTAAAAGAAAATTAATAGTTGTGTTACGACTCAGCTATTTTATTTCATCAACCAACCCTTAAGTTTACGTGACACTGCCATCGATATTTTAGTAATGCGAGTCGCTCAAGCGGTGGTCTCGAGAATGATCTCTCGTTTCGTTTGTTCGCAACATTAAAACCACTAGCTGTTGTTGAATATAACGAAGGAAAGTGTGGTATAGATTATTCCGACCAAATGGTTTCTTATGCCACCACAATTACAAAAGGAATCGAATGGTACAGAAAACTCGCTGTTCAATTCCTTCTGGGAATTTCTGTTGTAAACGCTTTGACGATTTACAAAATCGCAACAAGGAAAAATATAAATATTAGGATATTTAGACAATTATTAGTTGGAAAATTATTAAGGTTGTCTGAAAATACAAAAGATCCTTATCTTCGACGGAGTCAGCATAATATCGCCGTTCGGAAAAACGATTCCGGAAGAAGCATTAGACGCGCGTGCAAACTACGTTATGCGAATAAAAGACGTCGAATGGACCGAACAAAGGCAGAAAAGAATTTGAAGAAAACAACAACTTATTGTCCAAATTGTCCCGACCAACCTCACCTACGTATAGAATGCTTTAAAGTTTTACATTCCAAATCATTTTTTTAATAAACCATTTTCGTATTTTTATTTTATAACGATTCAACAGATTTATTATTATGGAATATCTTTTCAAATACTTACGACGATCCCTGGCAAGTAGTCAAATAAGCGACACCCGAATGTGTTACGCGGCCTGACCATAAACTTTGCTGACACCCTAATACGGGTGTCGTGGCAGTCAACGTGCTAATAATTAATTTGAATTTACACGACACCAGGACGCTAGAAAGAAACGATAGATAGATACTAACTTATTTCGACGAGATCCTGACTAGGGGTACTGGGGGTAGCTGGCACACTACTAGCTTTTCTTCTAAGACACGTCGTTTGACATCGCTGTATGGGTGGTTCTTCCTTCCGAAGTGGACCCGTTTCCTCTAAAACTTCCTTTTCTGTCCTGCCAGTATATTTGAATTTCGTACCCCAGGAGAAGATAGATCCACCGCTTACAACCGGTGCATCCGATGCCCTAGGTAATCTAATCAGAAGAGAGTGTTCAGTTAGTGATTTACTCGGCTGTTTGATCGGTTTCGTCGGTCTCCGTACATTCAAACAGTTATATCAAGGTATGTCTCTGAGAGAATGAATTTCTTGGGAATATCTTCAAATTTTAGCTACGTGTTAAAAAGGATACGATGTTCGCGTAGCTAAAACTTAAGGAAGCCTGGCGGTACCCCGAGGTCAACGTATCGAACCTCAAAGCTTCTCCAAAATCAAAAGCGAATTGCTTGCGAATTTTTCAAACAGCTGATATATCGCGTGAAACTACGTTAGAACTTTTATATTAAAAAATGGACAGGCCCAGCGGTACCGTTTCTCAGATAAACGAGTGCAAATTACGCGATTTGATGAAGTTCTGGATGAATGTAAGGCATGCGTGTGCACAGATATAACGCTGCCATGCGTGTCTACGTAAAGGGCTGGGCTAGCGTGTTCAGTTTTTCCAAAAGGTTGCTTTCTCACTCGTATGTGCCGACCACATACAACAACATTCTCACGCATACGCTCTCGCGTGTTAAACATTCGCGAGCGATTATACTCTGAGACATACCTTAAGTACGATAATTATACACGATAATATCTGTATGTTACAAAAGTTCTTAAAAATCGAGCAGGCTGCTTGTATTTCAAAACGAAATATCCGTTGTACCATAAATAGCTTCCCAAGATTCGTATCATTTTTCACGTTAGGATTCGGTGTAACATTTTTTTCCATCGTCCTACGTCCTCTTTGTAGCTTCCATATAATAAAATCCGCGAAATAATAGTTTAAACGTTTGAAAATATAGAAAATTAAGACTAATAACGTTCTATAATGAAAACATAATACAACAACCTTTAACCCCTTGGCCTACACGCTACCTGCCGATCGCGCGAGCCATGATAAGCAAGAAGTTTGGTCGCCCTCCGTGCCATTCATCTGTTCAGCCGTGTGCCAGAACTGGCGCAAAATGTACGCTTCTTATGACATGGATATTTAGGGGCAACAAAAGGAATTGCGAAACAATAAACAACGTTTGAGGACAAATAGTGTTTTCAAGACGTCTAGGACGTGATCGTGATCAATTGATCAGTTGACAAAAACAGTTTATCATTTCAAAGTGGATAACGAATCACTAGAAATTTGTAAATTGCCACGAGTCAGACTCGTGGGTTCCGTTTATGGCAGAAATTCTTTACCACGAGTCAGACTCGTGGTTCTCGCTTATGGCACAAATACCTTACCACGAGTCTCGCTCGTGGTTACAGGCCAAAGGGTTAAATGTATTACCTTTTTGGTTATCGTCTTAAAGCAACAATGTTTACAAAGAAATTCGCTTTCAGAGTCACTTTAGGAAATTTTTCATAATTTACGAGATTTCGTAACTGTAAGCATATATAACATTTATCATAAACAAAGAGCTCGTTCGAGTTAGTGCAAATCATACTTTTGCTGGCAGAAAGATCGAAAGGGCCAAGTGACGAAAATGGTAACACGATCGAAGAAAGACACCCAGCGTAGCTATCTCGCGACATCCTCGGATCGGGGCTCTAATTAATAATGATCTTATGCGCGAGAGCTGGAAATACGGGTAAAAGGAAGGGAAATTGTACTTGTGAAGAATCGAATCTTTTGCAAATAGCAATCGAATTTTTCTAACAAGAGAAAAATTGGACAGAACCATAGACGATGAATGATAGAGAGTCCTTATAAATTTTATTTCAGCGTTTACGCTTGTACCTATTTAAAAATGATAACCCACAACAGATATGATTCTAAACGAATCGGCAACTTTTGCTTCAAGAATGATACGCGAGAAGACACAGTGCACCGGCTTTTTTTCCAAAGATAAGACAACATATTAAAGTTTCACGAGGAGATCATTTTATTGTATATTCCTTATACGAAATTTCTACGCTTCCTTGTGTTCAGTCGTATATGTGTATTATACAGGGTGGTTGGTAACTGGTGGTACAAGCGGAAAAGGGGCGATTCTACGCGAGAAAAGAAGTCGAAAATATAGAATAACAATTTTTCGTTCGAGGCTTTGTTTTCGAGAAAATCGACTTTGAATTTTGGCTCGGTACGCGTGCACTTTATCGCGTCTTGTTATAACGGATCTCACTGTAGATCGTTGTCTCGATGGAAAAATTAAAAAAAAAATGTTTATTCTATATTTTCGATTTCTTTTTTCGCGTAGAATCACCCCCTTTCCCCTTGTACCACCAATTACCAACCACCCTGTATATAGCATTGTGTTTATCTACGAATTTATAAATATCATTCCGTTATACACAGTTACATACATACACAGATGCACGGCTAGATGCACATAGTACTATATACAGACAAAGTTAGTGTACATTTGTGGTAAAAAAAAATCTTGGATCATTTTATAACTTCGTAATTACATTTTTACTAATCATTGACAAAAATATGCTTTTTCCTTGCAGCATAAAAGCTACGTATACAGTATGCGGTCCGTGATTCGTAGTACAAGTAGTGAGAGGGGGATTCGCGAGATTCTGTGATTCGAAATACGACAAAAATTGAAAACAAAATTTCGTTGAAAGCCTCGCTTTGCAGAAGATCGAGTTTGAAAACTTGTCAAGAATACGCGGACTCGTCCAATTCTCAACTAGACGGAAGCGGATAATCCATAGGAAATTATTTCATGTGAAAACAAGTCGAAAACGTAGAATACGTTTTTGTCGTTCAAGGCCCTGTTCTGAAAAAAAAAGTAGAGGACTTGTATAGAGAATGTTTGATCGTGAGATTTGTTGACCCTTTGCACTCGAGAGGCGACTTTCAGTCAGCACGACATTTCGAGAGGCGATAGTCCCTGTTTACGTTAGATTTCGACATCTCCAATTGACTAGAGTGCAATATTGGCTTGTAAATTGGTTCCTTAGCTCTTTGTGTTCTTTGTTAGGACGTGTAAAGTGTTAGTGTTTAAAATGGAGATAAAATATTTAATCCCATATCCCTCCGAAACTATAGTTCAACTATGGTATTGAAACAACGTCTCCAACGTTAGTTCGAATTCGACGATCATGGCAAAAGTATAATATTATAGTTTAGAAGCCCTAAAAAAGTGGTTTTCGGAAGTTGAATTAGCTGAAACGAAGATGAACTTGATTTTGAACTGTTGAAGAATGAGATTAATTATATCAAGAACGCATCTTGGTGAATGCTTTATAAGTTACCATACAAAAAAATACAGAAATTAATATTACAAAAGCATATTTTCAAAGATGTAAATATAGATGAATTATTAGAATATAATGTTTTTGTAAGTTAATTTCTATATGAAATCATTTTACACTAGCTGTAAGACACGCGTCACGTATACGCTAGATCATCCGGAGTAGCTGGTACACCCGGTCGAAAAAGTTCTCCAGTGCAAAGGGTTAAAAGTTATTCAACAACAAGTTACAGCTTGTTGTTAAATCCGTCGAATATATTTAAAATAATAAATTAGTATACCGACTATATTCGTTGATGCGCTCGTACAGTCTGTAAATCGCAAAGTAAGATCGCTAATGACTGGTTAATTAGATCGCTCATAATACGTTGAAAACTCGATAGATAACTCGATAGATAACTCTTAGATAACTCTTAGATAACTCGTCGATACTCAACTCTTTTCGATTGCGTCCATTTATTTATACTGGTCGGAGGAAAATTTGAATTCGAGTTTGCTCGACGGTTGCACGTAGCAGCGATGTTGTTTTGCCCGCAGTTTATTTGTTCTTACACTATTTGTATCCTAACGATATTGATACTCCGAGGTAAAACAACAACATGATTCGAACTGTCCTCTACTCACGTGCCGCTACAAAAATAAGCTCGAATACTGGGCAACTCTTCAAATTCGATTTTCTCAAATATTATGTTTTCGACTTACTTTCACACATACGGTAACCTCCTGTCGATTACCTATCCCTGTATAGTTGGCAATTAAACAAATTAATCCATACTTGTCAAGTTTTGAGAATCGATTTCCTCCAACACAGTTTGACTGTTCTTGATCTTCGTCGTATTTTCTCAGCCATAGAATCTCTCTGATCCCATTTGTACCATGAATTACGGATCCTATATGTAACATGTTATCAGATCTGATACACCTAACACCGTCGCTTTTCATTTTCTCTTATTTGTCAGGATACAAGCAAATGAGAGTAAGTTATCGTCCTTCGAGGAGATATTAGGATATAAGAGTGTCGTCTCAGGATCATCCGACATTACACCGTTGGTTTCGTTTTGTTAAACAAAACGACTAAAAAAAGCTAAGACGAAAACGCATACAGCCGTGTCCCGTAGCATGATCTTCGAATGATCTGGCCGAGCACAAGATCAAATTAGAAGCTGGCGTAAAAAGGCTGTTGCAGAAACAGAATTATTTTAACGTATACTCGTGATGTTCTCCCTTAAACTCGATACTCTTATTTAGGCGTAAAACGATCTCGTCTCCAACTCTCTTTGCTATAACCGAGAATATGCTTGCAGAAGCGTTGCAAATACATTTTCATGTTCTGCCGACCACGTCTCTGTATACTATATTTTTGATCACGCCCCATGGATATCCATTCTGCGTACTCTACATTGTACAATTATACAGGGTGGTTGGTAACTGGTGGGACAAGCGGAAGGGGGGTGATTCTACGCGAAAAAAGAAGTCGAAAATATAGAATAAACATTTTTCGTTCGAGGC